AGAGGGCGGTCACCCAGAGTCACGTTGCAACACCTCCCCTGGGAAGGCAGAGAAGGCACTCCGGAAGATCCTGCACAGAACTCCAATTTCCCATGGATGGATGGATGGACAGATGGACGAGGGTGGCCTCCACAAGGCACCTCACTCCCATCCACCCCCCCCATAAGAGTCCCTGTTTCCTTCTATCATTTGCACAAACAGCCTCCTTGCAAAACAAGAGCCCCTGCGCTTGTTTTGCACACTCAGGCAGGCAGCGAGCACGTAGGGAGGGGGGAGATCCCTTAAAAAGATGCAAGCAACCCATCAGGCACTCTTAACCCTCAGAAGTCCAAGCCACACTGCAGAAGGCACCAGCCGAGAGTCCCGAGAGATGTGCACCTCGCTCGCCTTTCTCTTCCATGGGAGGAGACAAGCAAGGGGCCAAACGATCCCTCTCGCCCTGGGCACCCGCTTTTCGCACAGGCCGAAAGGACAAGCTCAGAAATCTTAAGATGGGAAGCCAGTGACAGCTTCTCATAAGGAGGGGGGCAAGGCAGCCCCTTGGTGCGAGGGTCCTTCTACGGCCCTTAAGCGATGGAGAGAAGACGCGGCTCGGTCTCCAGCCCATCCCTCCGAGTCTCTCCGGTTGGTGGATCAATTGCCCCCTGAGGTGGTGCAGGAACGTCCAAAGGAAGCCCCTCTCCCCCAAACCCCCGGCACCTCTTTCTTACCCACAGGTCTGGCCACGGAAACGCTGCCCAAGTAGTACACCTGGAACCTCTGGACTGACTCGCTTTTGGGGGCCGGGAACTCGACAGCTGGGGAGGAAGCAGGAAGAGCCATGAGCGAGGGCTGAAAAGGGCAGCCGCGCAGGAGTGCCCGCCCGCTGTCCCCAGGGCTGGCCCAGGCCCCTCGGGGGGGGTGAAGCAGGCAGGCAGGCAGGCATCTCAAGGCCCCCCTCCCCGCAGCAAGGGAGACAGAGAGCCCACTAGGCCACCTGCCCACCTGGGGCTTCCAGTGTGGAAAGGGCAGCTGGGGGCGGCCAGAAAGCCCACCGCTGGCCGAGATGCACTGGCCACAGACACAGAGGTCCACCGCCAGCACAGACCAGCCGGAGAGCCCCATGGCAGGCAAGCGCCACCCTCTGCCCCCTCCCCAGGCCCAATACCTTGAAAAGGGATCTCCACCAGCTTGGAGTGGTCCAGCATCATCCCATGGGGAGGGCCTCGAGGCCCCTGCCGCTCCGTCAAGATCTAGGGAGGAGAAGGGCTGGTGGGAGTTTCCCGACAGGAGCCACCCGGCCACAGGGCCTTCTCCCAGCCCCGGAGAACAGCCGGATGTGCGCACGTCCCCTTCCCACCCACCCACCAACACCTGACTGGGAGGTGAGCCTGGAGGGGGCAAAGCACCGGTGCGGCAGGCCGTGCCATGCCCACATCTGGCACAAAGGCCCTGGAGCACCTCCTTTGGCGGACCGGCAGGGAAGGCGAGGGGGCTGTGGGGGCTGCCCATGTGCCTCGTGCGCAAGGCAGTAGAAGAAGCAGGCCCCAGAGCCCTCAGACCCAACACGCCGTGGGGAGAAGGCCAGCAGGAGGTAAATCCTCTGAAGGACAAGAGTGCCTCTGAGCACATGAAAAGGGTGCAGCCCTCTTAACCTGAGGGATGTGTCCAAAGCTACTCTGCACACCACCTTCTGCCTCCTTCATACAGCCAGCCGGCTGGGGGTGGGGGTGGGGGGCGCAGAGGCCTCTGAAGCCCCACTGGCCAGAAGGAAGCCTTTTAGTTTCTAAAGGACCAGAAGTCCACTTTGCTGACATGAAAGCAGAGTGCTGTGGGCGGAGGAGAGGAGAGCCTTGGCATCCACAGGGAGCATCTTCCTGCCCAAGCCTTCTGGATCCCGAAGACCAGCTGAAGGGCCCCGGGGTCCACCTTGGCCAAGGGAGGGCACCTTTCCAAAGCCAGTGGGTGGGGGGTGGGGTGGGGCTGTGTACGCTTTGGTAGGGGCCGGGGCCACAACGCTCCAGGAACTGCCCCGATGCCCACGGCGGCTGCAAGCCACTGCCCTCTGTTCTCAGGCAAGGAGGTGGGCATCTGGGTGGGTCGGTCCAGCCTCACCTTGGAGCAGACCTCGTGAAGGCTGGTGGCAACGTCCTTGGCGGGGGCTTCGCACTGGAAGATGTGGCACTTCAGCACCTGAGCCACCTGGTCACGTGCCACGTAAGCAAAGTCCCTGTAAACGGGGTGGGGTGGGGGGAAGAGAGGAGGCAAGGTGGTCAGCTGGCAATGTGGTGGTGGGTGGGTGTTCTTCCATTCCCAAGGAGATCCCAGTGGAGTGGAGGGGGAGTCAGACAAGCCCCCCCGAAGCAGAGCAAGATTCCAGCCCCCCCCAATCCTTTCCAAAGAGAAATGCAAGAAACGGTGTCTGTCGATCGGTCTGTCC